CCATGTGGGAGCATATATAAACCAGCATTAATATTTAAACAGATGACTGTGGTCAGATTGATACTTGCAATCATATATGCCTCAGGTCTACTCACAGGTATGACCTGTTGAGCTTTGATTTAATACATATACTCACACACCCAAACAACAGATATGTACCAAGATGCATGGGCACATGCATTCACAAGCACAAATGTGTTGTCATGCGATAGATATTCGAATCTGGATGTACGCATGGACACCTATGTTTACACATGTGTATGGGCTATGTTTGAAAAAGAAGTATCTAGAAGGCGTATGGCTGCACGACAGGAGAAGATGGGTGGCATCTGCCATATCCTATGAGGGACTACTTTGCCCCCCCCCCCCCCCCACACAAGACACAGCCAAGGGTCATCGCGGGATATGACCAAAGAACGGTAGGTCTGTGTAAAGACACTCATCATTGATGCCCGGGATCATTGACTGCAAATAGCACCAACATCGACAAGGCCGCGGCACTTAGTGAAACAAATAGTTCTAGAATAGAGAAGTTGTCCTTATCTGCATGTATGTATGTTTTGATCTCATTACATGTACTCAAATTACATGTGCTCACACATACCCATACAATCGAGATGGATGGGCACATATTTTTACGATCACAAATGAGTTGTGATGCGACAAATTCTCCTTCCTGTATGTACACATAGGCACATGTGTCAAAGCAGATGGACACATATGTATGGCACATGTTAGCTCAGGAGTTGCAAAAAGGCAAGCTGTTCCTATGACTTTATGCTCAAATCAATATGCGCTTGCGAGGGCTGTGAATGACATAGATGCACCTTTCTGGCACCCTTCTGTGTATGTTCCTCTTTAGTTTTGACTCCAGGTTTGCTCGTGATCCTGTTCCTTGGTCGCTCCAGGGCTTCAAGCATTTCCGAAACTCAAAGACTCAATCCACAGGCCTGGCTCAAGGCTCAGAGAGCTGGGCTATAAAGTCCCTGGCTTTGGGGGCGGGGGGGGGGGGGGAAAAACAAAAAAAAACAAAAAAAACTGATACCGTCGCCCCTTCATGTTTTTTTTTTTTTTTCCCCCCCCCCCCCCCCCCGGGCTCCAGGATCCCTAGACCAGGATCCTTTGGCTTCGGGGCCTAGGCTTTCTCTTTTTCGCTCTATATGCACTGTGCGCGCGCGCGCCATATTCCCGGCAGAAGCTTTCAGCTCCGTTTGCATTCTTTGTTGTATTGGTGCCATGCTACATAGTCTTATAATTGGCGATGAGCCAAATCACGCAAAATGCATAAAATCCAGCTATTCTACTCGAAAAACACGGGCCTGCATTGCGTTACACACTCCAGAAAATATTATTATTATTATTATTATTATCATTATTATTATTGTTGTTATTATTGTTATTATTATTATTGTTATTATTATTATTATTGCTATTATTATTGTTATTATTGTTATTATTATTAATATTATTATTATCATCATCATCATTATGATTATTATTATTATTACTATTATTATTATTATCATTATTATTGTTGTTATTATATATATATATATGTACGTATAGATAAGAGGTTCTCTTAACATTTACTTTGGATATCTATCTGGGTGCTTGAACATGACAGCGGCATTTGCGCCGTGCTCTCGACCTTGGCCCCGGTGACGCCTGCACTCGCTCCTGACTGCAATCATAAAAAGTCCAAATGCCGCTTACGTTGTCCTGAAGGTCTTGACAATGTGTCGTAGTTACGTCGTAGTTCTCGTCTATGTATAAACTCCTCGATGTGCAGTTTAAACCCGTCTTATCCTTCTTCATGAGTTCCGAATCTGTGCCGAAAGCAAGATTACGAACGCTCGGTGTTGACTCGTGTTGGCAGAATCGAAATGAAGTCTGCACATACGTATATTACTGACAAGCACGACCGTGGACATCGGGGTCTACGCGCCTGCCCCACCAGGTCTTCTTACTGAGATTGCGGCTTGTGGGAAGGTAGAGGAGCGTCGAAGGGCAGAGATCGCATCTCCTGTGGTAGTTGAACGATGATGCTGCATGAAAGGCAACATAAAACTTAAAACTCATAACACTTTAACATATCATACACTGTATGACACAAAATAACAAGTATCTGTTCGGTAGTGCTAGTCATTCTGCGTAGTAGAATCCTGAAAGCAGGTCGAAGCCTAGGACAGGAAGCCCACAATTACGACTGTGCACCTGCTAAGCAAGGATACTGCCGATGCTGATAATTTCGGTGATGATGATACTGCCAATGGTGATGGTGATGCTGACATGATCGACTTCTTGCTGCAATCCTCGCAACATTTTCGCTGCCTTCAACGTGAGGCTGAAGTCGAACATGAGCTGATGGGTGTACACTTGCCTTCTTTTCTGTGCTGTTTCTTTGGCAGGTGCCTGTGCTCGGCACACTAAGTAGGGCCGTGCGCGCGCTAACGTCGACTATTCATGGTTTCGAGCTGGTGCGGCAGGAAATCAACCATCCCTTACTTCTTTGACATGCAATGCCCTGCAACCCGTTTTCTCCTCTGTTGAGCATTTGCTCATCACTTGGCCATTCTGCCACATGGGCCACGATCAGCATGTGAAATGGACTAGGTTCTGCAATGCATCTGCAATCGCAGAGCATGTGCTCAAGACTGCGTTTGCTTCGAAACATACAGGCGGTGTGTGCTTGGCGCAATAGATGCCACATGGCTGTCTGCTCTGCGAGTATCTGGGTCTGGACAGAGATAACTCAACAATCAGTCGGATTGCCGGCAGGCAGCGAAGCTATCCCAAAGGAGACAGCTCCCGAAGCCAGTCTGCAGTCAAACGCTGATGAGGCAGATCTATGAAACGTCAGTTCCTGGCGGTTTCAGCCACGATGAAGAAGGATAGATGTACATTGCTTCTCAAGTACCTCTCGCTTCTCTATCATCCCTGAGCAAGTACCTCAGATGATGATGCATGTCGTCATGCAGCCTGATGCAGCATGTCCTCGCTGCCGTCCGATGAAGATCAGCAAACCATCGTGAAATTACCAGCAATTGACGTCTGCTCAGTTCTATGAAGACGAGTTGCTGCGATCTTGCTGCTTGTCTCGGGCACAATCGGGATGCACCTCGTGCTGTCATGATTGCCCATGCACCGAATACACTCGGACATAAGACGAACGACAAACATATTAAGGACATTAGTAACACCCCGCCGCTCCCCCACCTCCATCAAAACACGTGGGAAGTCCTCATCCATTTGGCAAAGAGACTCCAAAATCCCTTTATTATGGAATATACCCTAAACTATACCAGGATCCCTAATATGACTTAGGGTAGCTTCCCTACCTAAGGGGTATTCGAGTCTCTGGGAGATTGATCCTGGGCACCCCGGGATCTGGGACAGCGAGCCGAGGTTGGAGTAGGACAGAGAGGCGAGGCTGCCGAAGGTGGCCGGCGGTGCTGGGGCCTCGTCGCACAAAGCTATGTATATCTATGTTTTTTTTTTTTTTCAGGGCTCTTTTTTGCGACTGCCGAATAGTTCGAATTCCTTACCAGGATGAACCATACTTAGGGTTTAGGGTTTCGTCGCTCGCACTCGGACAATCCAGGCGAGGCATATGGGTCGGAGGTCTGTTGAGTGAGACGCACTATCGGGAGGAGAGTCCACCAGACATCACATGGGCAACATCTAAGTTAACTGTACTCCATGAGACTGCATCCCGCTCAGTGTCCTAGGGTTTAGGGTTTCGGGGGTTCAGGGCTAAAGACCGAAAACGTGCATGGGATGTTTGACCTGGCTTCGGCAAGCATGTATGTCTATGTATGCAAGTGTATATGCATGTATGTATGTTTGTTCTATACATATATGCCTGCATGCATGGGTCTGTATGTATTTATGTATCTGTGTGTGTAAATGCCTTCTTGTATGTACCTGCATGATTGCATGACCCTGCATGCATTTGTATGCATGCGTGACTCGGCTCGACTTTTTGTAAACCTGTATGAAAGCATGCATGTATGTAATTCTGTAGGCTTGCATGTCGCCTTGTATGTACGCACGAAACTGTGTGTATGTATCTGTCAATCCAAGTACTGCGCATTTATGTATCGAGCATGTATTTCTTGATCTATGTATGGACTTAACTTGCAGTACGCGGGTATGCATCTGTGTATGCATGTACGCATGTATGTAGGCATTACGTACAGGCAAAAACACGCCACAGTAACGCTGTTACTGTGCCGGCTATCTTCATGCGATTCAGGATTCTGTAAATTCGAGAAAGCAGTACAACGAACCGTGCTGCACGAGGAAATGGCATGGCATGTGACGGCTCGTGTGTGCAAAAGGATGATATGTGCATGCTGTGCTTCGTTGCAGAAATACCATGCCATGATATGTCACATGTCACCGCAAGCAACGTGCAGGCTTAAACAGGTAACAACCTAAAAGCACAACAAATCTCAGACAGACGTATACAAGTCTGCAAAGGCAGAGATAAGTAGCCTTTGAGCGTGTTACAACAGCTCTAGTCACCTCAAGCAAAGTCAAACGTTGTGCTATGTTTCAGTGTAACAAATGTAACACAGTTTCGGTGATGTTTCGATGCTCTCAGAACGCCAATACGGCACTAACAATTATAGGTTCTGTCTTATGTATCTCTTCTTCTCCAGGGCATGGGGGATGAGTCAGATCCCCGTTTGCTGTCTGGGGCTTCGCGGGGATGTGAAAGAAGTCTCGCTCTCCATCTCTATCTCTGTCTCTCTCTCGCTCGCGCTCGTTAAGGGCATGCCCGGCCCGAAGGCCTACCCTCCTGAGGTTCGCGTCGGCAAGTCTGTGCGACCCCTTCCGTGGGTTGGAGTGATCCTGTTCCCCCGTCAATGCTGTGAACCCCCCCCCTCTCTCTGTCTTTATCTCTTCCGTTGTCTGCGCACCCATACGCCCCGTAAAAATTCCATGCCTGTGTGCCTGTGTCTCAGCAAGAGTCAGAGAGAGAGTGTCTCTGACCTCTAAAGCCCACCCCCCTGCTCCGCCTGCGCGACCTTGAAGCGAGAGGTGGCCTTCGTTGGCTTTGGACTGCAGGCTGAGTTTCAAGCTTCGTCATGCAGCCGAAGCATAAATCTACCCATTGGACCAGCGACAGGGCGCTAGGAAGGTCCTGAATAAAAATACCCAATCCCAGTCGCTGTACATGTCTCAAACCCAAAGTAACATAAGCAACAAATCTCAACACTGTTTTGACCACCATGGTGCCGTTGAGCCCCAGCCCAACAAAGCCTTAACACAGGCAGCCATGCCGAGCCCCAGAGACCCCCAGTACCTGAACCTACCAAAACCCACTTTTTTGTAGAGTCCCTATAAATTCCATATTATATTAAGGTTAATAGTTAATATTAAGAACCTACAAAACAGTAGGGTTTGGCAGGTTAAGGTAAAGAGATTTCCACCGAACCCGCCTTCAAGTGCAGAGCCTCTGCCTCTTCGCGAGCGGCCTTGGTGTCGGCTTCGTTGGCCTTGAATGCAGCGCTCGAGATCAGACGACAAAAGACAAGGGTTTATGGAAACAAAAAGGGGAAGAGCGACACCCTGACCTGGAATAGCAAGCATCTCAAAGCCCAAGGCAAGATCCGCGGTCAGGGCTGCATTGGTTGATTCTTGCGTTGTATGCCACAGCCCTTCAATTTCCGAAATGGGAACCCGGAGCCATACAAACCCAAAACCTGACTAAACTCATCTCCTACTCGGCCAAGAACGTAAACGAACGTTGATTCACCGTTGCTCCGGTCGGCTTGGGGTCTAGGGGTCAGCCGGAAAACTGCTGCTTCATTCTACTACTACTTCTACTACTACTACCACTACTACTACTACTACTACTACTACTCCAACCGCGACTGCCACTAAATACTAGTGCTCCTGCTGCTTATAATTGTCATCATCGTCAAAATTTCAGGAATGTTATTGCTACTTCTACACCGTGTTGTCTCACCGTACGAATGACAGTGTAGAGTAAACGCGTCCAGGTACATCCGGCCCCAGATTTCGGAGAATGGCCCCGGCGAGTGCGGCTTTGGCGGACAGGGTCTCCACATGATCCTGCTTCCGGCTTCGGGGCTCTTTTGGAGCTTGAGAGGTTCAGCGATTCTATTTGGGAAGCGAGTTTGAATCTGTAAGGTTTTTGGGCTAATTGCCTCGTGCCGACGTTGGCAGCCTAAGATTTAGTGACATCCAGTGTGAGCTGCACCGACGCATCCACTGCGTGAGGACGCAAATGCCGTGTGAACAGAAGCTCATCACGGCTTGCGGGGTCAAGATTCCAATCGATTTGAGTGAAGGCTGCAGCCACCAGGCGCAAATGAAGCCAGTACAAATCCAAACTGCCAAACCCTGAGCTCTAGGAACAGAATTATGACCAGCTACTTGCTACCTTTCTCCGGCTGCGCCCGATCGGCGACATGGAGGAACAGAAGTGCAGAATAAATCTGGAATAAATGCGTGTGGCCTGCCAGGCTCCCCGTTCGTGTATCGAGGAACAGGGTTTTGCACAGGTAGCATGACAGCGAACCATGTCGTAGTCGTCGTGGTGGTGGTAGTAGTAGTAGTAGTGGTAGTAGTCGTCGTAGTAGTTGTCGTCGTAGTAGTAGCAGTATTAGTAGCAGTAGCAGTAGGAGTAGTAGTAGTAATCGTAGTAGCAGTAGTAGCAGTAGTAGCAGTAGTAGTAGTAGTAGTAGTCGTCGTAGTCGTAGTCGTAGTCGTAGTCGTAGTAGTAGTCGTAGTAGTAGTAGTAGTAGTAGTAGTAGTAGTAGTAGTAGTAACAACTTGGGGCACGACCTGCAGGCTCCGTTCAAATCGTCGTCACCGTTTGGTTGTACTCCGTTTGAATTATATTTCACTATATGCGTCGCCGTGGCTATGGCAGGCCTCATTGACTGTTACACTGCTACACTTCAACGCACTTTATGTAACTCTCAGATGCCAAGCAATGAGTTGGAGGGCTCACAGAATAAACAAACCGCGGACCTCTTAGCATTCTTGCGGCGATGGCCGATCTAATTGCCACCCAGGGACAGGTCCCAGGCAGGTCTCGCTGAGATTGGCCACCTGTGCACCGGTTCGTCAAACAGCCACAATGTACGAGTTACCGCCAGGGTACCTACACTGTCATCTTGCTACGCTGCGGCTGCTGCTACTGCTACTATATCATGTAAACAACTCCCACTCCTACTGTTCTCCTCCACCCAGTCTTACGACGTCTACTTCAAACTGAACCTTCTGCTGCTGCTGCTGCAACTGCTCCTGCTGCTACGACGATGCCTATCGGGCGCACGCATGCACGCACATGTGCGCACACACGCGCACAACACACAAAGAAGGCGGGCATGAACAAGTGATTAAAGTTGGTCAGAGGCCGAAGCCTCTACCAGGAAGCCCGTCGTGCCGTCGAGATCATCAGCCGCAAAATCCAATACCCCACACCCTAAACTCCACCGCAGCGAGAAGCTCGCCTCACGGCGCAGGGCCAGGGATTCTGCAGCAGCTGCCTCGCCCTCCTTGCGGCCAAGGATGGCTGCGAGCTCCGCACGGGCTGCCAGGGTGTCCTCGGGCGGAGCGGAGCTCTGCAAACTGTCAAAATACAGGTACGCCTGCAGCTTTGCTGCAGCATGGACAGCGACGGTACTCATTACACAAACCGCAGTAATTGGAGCTTCCGATGCTCTCAATCCCAGTGACACAGCTTCATGGTTACCCGGCCGAAAGAAATCCTTAAAACATCCGAGCATCTGGGTGGGTCGCACCGAGGGTAGTGCTTCGACGCTCTACCACCTGCCTTACAAGTGCCTCTTCGCGATCAGGCTCTCCGACCTCCGCCAAAGTCAACAGGAACCTCAGTTGAGTTCTAGACCCTGGCTTAACTCCTCAAGCCTCATCACTGCGCTGAAGCTGCTTGGTGTGCCCCGGGTCTTGAATAAGTGTCTGCAGAAGGCCAAGCCTAGAGCCGGACTGTAAGCCGGAGAGCTTACTCTGGCGGCAGCGACTGCGCTTCCGGTCCATCGGTGCCAAGGCATCGAGACGCTGCCAAATCTGCTCATTAAGCTGCTCTGCCTGGTGCCGAACTTCAGGCGTGCAACCATGGAGTTAAAGCATGGAAGGAAAAGCGGAGGCGACAAACGCAAACAGATGTCATGACCGGGCGGGGGGGTATTGTTGGCGAAGACGTAAACAGGTCCTGCAGGGAACTACACCTAACTCACTATCTATGTAATCTGTCTATCTATCTGAATCCCCCCCTCTCTTGCTTGCTTGCTTGCTTGCTGATGGTCCCGAAAGACCCTTGGCCCGAGGGCCTACCCCCACACGGTCCGCGCGCAATGCGTCGAGAGGCCCCTATTCGGGGCGGAAAGAGGTGTTCCCCCGAACGCACAATCAATTACCCAGCCCCTCGAACCACATCTAAGACCATAACCATTCTCCTTTTTTCTCTCTCTCTCTCTCTCTGTGCGTGTGCGTGTGCGTATCTATAGAGATAGACCAGAGATAGAGACAAGGCAATCCGTCGTGGACGGGGAAGCTGTTCTTACGGGTGGAAGGGGCAGATGCTCTTGCTGCTGCAGTTGCATTTGCTGTAGCTGTTGCTGTTTTTGTTTTCACGGTAAGCCTCTCGGCTCAGGAAAGGTCAGGCTAGTACAGTTGCCTTTTTCCTTTCTTGCCATGGCATTTGTCAGCGCCTGAGCAGTCCCGGTCCCAAGTCCGGGAGGGAGTATTAGATTTACAGCTCTCTAACATCTCCCAGAGGTGAGGGTTGTCGGTATTGCGAAGCCGACAGGAGCCGTACTCAACATGAGTGCTGCGAAACAGCCTAGTGGTTCGACCAAGCATCAGCCCGTTCCTAAAGGGAAGGGTAAACGCTCTTATCAAAGGGCAGCACGTAAAGCTCTGCTTGAAGGTAGTGCGGTCTACAAGGGAAGGACGATGTCGTCAACAGAGCTTGGAGTTGCTCCGGCACATGTAAAGCCCACCAATCCCGGCAGAAGGACTCGGCCTTCAAAATTTACAGAAGATAAGAATCTCAGCTATCTATCCTGGAACGCAGGATCTCTCACAACAGCAGTTTGGGAAGAGTTACTCTCCGTACTGCAAAGTGCAGCATTTCAGGATGTGAAGCTGGTAGCAATTCAGGAAACACACTGGAGGGGCTCATGGCAATTCAGCAAGTCAGGTTGGCACGTGATCAGCTCTGGTTCCACAGGGGAGAAGGGAGCCGGGGTCCTCATAATGGTGCACTCCACGCTGTGCAAGTCACAGGATCTTCGCTACAACGAGGTTGTTCCAGGAAGAGTTCTCCAGGTCCGGGTGCCGAGCAACGGCATCTCACTGGACGTCTTCAGCTGCTATCAATACGTTTGGCGCTCTAAGGAGACAGTCGCTCAGAATAAGGAAACCCGGAAGCAGACCCTTCACGCCCTAAGTAAGTCCATCCGAGCTGTTCCCAATCGCAACACTCTCCTTGTGCTAGGAGATTTTAACTCCTCGCTCAAGACCGACAACAAACACGTAGGGCCATGCACGATCCAGGCTTGCAGACTCGGGCATCGCGGATCTAAGGATCTCCAGACCCTACTGTCGGAGCACCAGCTAGTCGCAACCAACACTTGGGGAGTGCATAGACCAGCCACCCACGAACAAGGCAACTCTGTTTCACAGATTGACTTCTCGTTTGTCAGGATTGCACAGTCCCAAGGCCCTGCCAGGTTTTGCCGGCCACTAAGGACCTTCCCAGTGGCATCCTGGAGGGATGGTAGTAGGCATTTCCCCCTTCTTGGTAAACTGAGGCACAGCAGGAGATACTCCGCCCAAGCCTCAAAACCCTATGACCAGCAGGCAATGGAGGACTGCTACAGACACCGTTCCCCGAAAATACAGGCATTTGCCAGGGAGGTAGACTCCCTCCTTCAGGATCATCCCCAAACCTGGCAGAGTCTCCATCAAGCAATGAACTCAGCCCTCGCGACTCACTTTCCCAAGAGAAAGGGAGCAGCACAAAGATCAGATCTCAGCATTTGGGCAGAGCGCACAGTGTTGCGCTCACTCCCAATGTCAGTCAAGGTCTTAGCAGAGTTCTTGCCGGAGTTGCAGGTCCGAATGGTATTTCGCTGCTGGCTGTCGCTGTCTCAGCAAAGTGCACAGGCGAGGGTAGCAAAGCGTCAGAAGCAGGAAAGGCGACGACAGGAAATAGATGAACAACTTGAGCAGGCAGAGCTTAAATCCAAGCAAGACGGGAGTCATTCCCTCTACAAGGTGATCAAGCGCTTCCGGTCGGGGAGGCCTCAGGAAAGAGTTCAGCTACGTGACTCAGAGGGTCGCTTCCTAACAGCCAAGGAAGAACGTAGACAATTAGAGGAATACTCCATTGAACTGTTTGGAGCAGGGGACGACTTCCCGCTCACAGGGATACAAGGCAGCCTGCACATCACCGAGCAAGAAGTTCAAGAACAGCTAGGCACTATAAAGCTTGGCAAAGCAGTTCCTAAAGAAAGTCCTCCCATAGTAGCTTGGCGCTCCCTAGGCCCCAACGCTATTCGGCTTATCTCGGACACTCTCAATAGGGAGGTCACTGCAGGAAGGCTTTCGGACAGCGTCACCTCGTCACAGATCTCTTGGCTCCCAAAGCCCCCCAAGAAGCCAGATAAGCCAACATCACTCCGTCCGATCGGGGTGATAGCACCTGAGGGCAAGGTCCTGGCAGGACTTGTGAGGCAGAGACTCAAGTCCACCCTCCATCAAGCAATGCAAGGAGTCTCTCAGTTTGGCTTCGTACCAGGTAGGGGCACAGAGGAGGCGATCTGCAAGGCCCTCACACATGTGGATCAGGCCAGGTTCAGGCAGGCCCTTACAACTAGAGCGGCTGGTAAGGGACAACAGGGGCTTAAGCTCAGGGGCAGTCTCACGATGAGCGTTGACATGAGCAAAGCTTTTGACACTGTGGACAGGCTACGATTAAGAGAAGCCCTGGAAGCTGAACAAGCAGACCCTCTTCTTATAGAGGTGGTGGGCCATCTCCACATCAAAGCCTTGTACAAGATGACAGCCAGCGATCAGAGCTTTGAGATAGCCACACGCAGGGGAATCAAGCAGGGATGCAAGCTTGCACCTTCCCTATTCGCCTTTGCATCCGGGCTTCTCTTTAGGAAGCTCTCTGGAAAAATCAGCCCCCCCGAACTAGTTAAACTTCTCACCATGTATGCGGATGACAGCTTGATTCAGTCGCATTTCGAGTCTGAGTCTGGCCTCATTACAGCACTAGGGTACTGCGACCTTCTTCTGGATCAATTGGTTGAACTTGGGTTCAAGGTCAATCCGTCCAAGTCAGCAATACTGCTGCAGCTACAAGGAGGTTCAGCCTCGACAATTAGGAAAAAGCTATTTCGCCAGGTAGATGGAGAGAAGTTTGTGGAACTCCCTTCGGGCAAGTTGATATCGCTGCGGTACCAGGTCCCATACCTGGGGGTCATTCTTTCTTATCATGACTATGAAATGAAGACCCTTAAACATCGGCTGTCATCCAGTAAGCTAGCAATGTCAGAAGTCGCCCATGCAGTTAGGAACCATCGAGTCCTATCAGACAGACGTCGTCTGTCAATTTGGACAATAACTGCGTGGGCCTCTGCTCTGTATGCCCTTCACGTGGTAGGACTGACACAGCAGGGATTGCAGAAGCTCCATTCACACATGATGTACCAACTTCGGTTTGTCCTGCGGAGCTACTCCCAGGAAACGAAGGAATCCAACCAGGAGTTACTCCGGAGAGTACGGATTCCTCACGTGAAGGAGCAGCTGCAAAAGAGGCTTACACAGTTCATTAAGAGACAGCAACACTCAGATCCTCAGCTCCTCCCACACTACAAGCTGCGCGCTGAGGCAATCAGCCAGGCTCTGGAAGGCCTTGCCATTGACTTCTCCTCGCAATCAGTAGAGGATAAGATCCTGACCTGCGGCGAGTGTGGAGCATGTCTCTCTGGTACCGGGGCACTCCGTCGCCACCTGCAGAAGGCCCACCCAGATTCGCAGCAAAGCTTGAAAGGACCCAGATTTGACCCTATTTTGCATTCAATGCCAGGGTCAGCAACTTGCATCGCCTGTAGAGCAACATTCCGAACAGTGTTCTCTCTGCGCAAACACGTCGAAGCTTCTACATGTCCTCGGGTAGAGCTCTTGCTTCGACAGCAGGAAGAGCTCCCTCTAGAAGCCCAGAACCGGATTTCACTTACAGAAAGTCTACAGTCTGATGCTCAGGAAAATCCGGAAGGAGCAGCTCGAAATCCGGTGTTCCATGATTACCTGATGGAGCACTGTGCACTCTGCGGTCAGGTCCTTGTTGGTCAGAAAGGAGCCAAACAGCACCTAAACAAGCAGCATCCTGAAGTGATGGCCAAGCTTGAGAAAACTCTCCAACCAAGACTTGCTCAGTTCAAGGTCTTCTTTCACAAAGGAGATAGCTGTCGCTATTGCAAACTCCGTGTGGATGCCCCGGGTAGACATGCTCAGCAGTGCGTTCCACTACTGCAGGTGCACGTACTGCAGGAGGTAGCGCGTCAGCAGCTCAGTAAGCAGCCCCGAGAATATACTCGAGCAAGGCCCACGACCTCGGCGAAGACAGCCACAAAGAAGCCCACAGATTCAATGCCAGGTATTCCCCTTCCCGAATTTAGACTGGAAGGCTTTCTCCTGCTAGCCAACACTCGCAACCACTGCTATGCCAACTCAGGTCTACAGTGTCTGCACTGGCTATCTGATCCCACAGAGGCGCCTTTTCACGAGGCATCTCGGATCAGTCTACTCGCGAGAATAACCCCTGAACACAGAGTCTTCTCGGAGCTCACCACGGGCTGGCTCTTTGACGGAGGACAGCATGATTCTGCAGAGTTCCTGCAGCAAGTGTTTCGGAATCTCTCTGCATCAAAATTTGGACAGTGGGAAACTCGAGCATCAGTTCCAGAGGGTGTGATAGTCGATGAAGAAGGGGGTTCTCCCATTCATCTCGCCACGGCGATCAAGCCCAACCTGCAGGACATGCTAGTGGCATGGTCGTCTCAGGAGCGCTCATG